CTGTAGTTCCAGCTACTTGGAAGGCTGAGACGGAAGGATCGCTGGAGCCCAGCAGGTCGACCCTGTGGTGGCTGTGAGCGTGCCACTGCACTCCAGCTGGGGTGGACAGAGTGAGATTTCAACTTTAAAAAAAAAAAAGTCCAGGCTCTTAACTGCTACACCACCCACCTCCTGATAATCAATAAATTGATAGGAAAAAAAAAAGTTAAGAGAAAGAGATTATTGTGACTTCTCCTGGCTAGAGAGTCTTTAAAGATGATGCAAGATTAAAACACAAGCCTGGAGGATTGAAATTGAGGAGGAGCCGAGGGAACATCTGGGGCAGAGATTTCAGCAACTCCATATTCCAAGGTGGAGATTCGCTCCACATGCTCAGTGGCCAGTCTCTCCAGTGAGAATTTCAAGTTGAGAAGCAGAAGTGGGTGAGGTCAGAGCATTCTGTGTAGTTTACACTCTGTTTTGTGGTACTGAGCTGCTATCAAGGGTTTGTGGACAAAGCAGTAGAATAATGAAAAGTCTATTTCATTTTATTTTATTTATTTATTTGTTTTGAGTTGGAGTCTACTCTGTCACCCAGACTGGAGTGCAGTGGCTACGCTCCCGGCCACCGCAGCCTTGACCTGCTGGGCTCTGGCGATCCTTCCGCTCAGCCTTCCAGGTAGCTGGAACTACAGGTGCATGCTACCACGCCTGGCTAATTTTTGATTTATTGTAGAGATGAGCCCACCCAAGTTGCCTGGGCAGGTCTCAAACCTGTAGGCTCAGGCAATCCACTCACCTCGGCCTCCCAAAGCACTGGGATTACTGGCTGAGTCACCCAGCCCTGCGAAAAGTTTATTTTAAATAGTAGCATTGCTCTGGCAGAGAGAGGGCTTCAAAAGATTTGGAGGTGAGAAGAAACAAGAGGCAAGGAGACTAGTGAGAAGGCAAATATGATAATACATGCATGAGATAATGAAAATGTTGCCTGGGATAGTACAGAAGGAATAAAAAAATTATGCAAGAATTTAATGTACTTAGTAGAAATTTTACATTACAATTAGAAAAATTATTTTAAATATGTGGGGTAAAATTCAGGGCTTGGTATACAACTGTTCATTATGCAGGTATCCTTGTTGATGAGGTGTGCTCCCCCTCCCCTGGCAGTTTCCCACTACTGCCAATCCCTTTCTTATAGTATTACAATAATTGTTCAAGGTCTGCTTATGCGTGAGAATGTGTGATACTTGGTTCTTTGTTTCTGTGATAGATCACTCAGTATTATGGTCTCTAGGTCCATCCAAGTTGGTGTGAAGTTCATAATTCTGTTCTTCTTTATGGCTCTGTAATATTCCATCATGTACCACCTTTTTTTAATCCAGTCCTCTTTTGATGGGCAGCATGGTTGCTTCCATGTTTTTTGCTATTGTAAATAATGCTGTAATAAACACGTGTGTGCAGGTATTGTTTTCATAGAGTGATATGAGTTCCCCTGGGTATATTCTCAGTAGAGGGATTGTGAGGTCGTATGGAAAGCTGACTTGTAGATCTTTTGGAAATCGCCACACTATTTTCCACAGAGGCTGCACTAGTTTCCACTCCCACCAACAGGATAGAAGTGCTCCATTTTTGCTGCATCCTCTCCAGCATCTCTTGTTTTTTGAGTTATTGACAATGGCCATCCTGACTGGAGGTAGTTGGTATTTCTGTGTGGTTTTAATTTGCATTTCTTTGATGACCAATGATGCTGAACTTTCTTTCATGTGTCTGTTGGCTGCCTGTATATCTTCTTTTGAGAAGTGTCTTCATATCTTTTGCCCACTTTGCAGTGGGGCTAATTTGTTTTTTTCTTTTTGGCATGTTTGAGTTTCTTGTAGATCCTAGATGTTAGGTCTTTGTCAGATGTACAGTTGGTAAATATTTTTTTCCGTCTGTAGGCTGTCTCCCTTCTCTCTTGATGGTTTCTTTGGCTTTGCAGAAGCTTGTCAGAGGTCCCACTTGTCTGTATTATCTCTTATGGCTTAGGTGCTTGGGGTTTTGATCAGGAATTGGTTGTCAGTTCCAATTTCCATAAAGGTGTCGCCTGCATTTTCTAAGGTTCTTATAGTGTGAGGTTTTATGTTTAGGTTTGGATCCATTTTGAGTAGATTTTTGTGTATGGTGCTAGGTAGGGGTCTTGTTTTAGTTTTCTGCTTGTGGTCAGTCAGTTTTCCCAGCACCATTTACTAAGTAAGTTCCCATCTCCCTAGTGGTAGATGGTGGAGGTTTTGATTATTGTAGCTTTATAATAAAACTTAAAATTTGGAAGCGTGATGCCTCGCTTTTTTTTTTTTTTTGGTGTGGCTATTGTGAATGGGATTGTACTTTTTGTTTGGGTTTCTGTTTGTTTATTGTTGGTGTATAGGAATATGACTGACTTTTGCACATTTATTCTATACTCTGAGACTGTGCCAAAGTCTTCTATCAGTGCAAGGAGGTTTTTGACAGATTCTCTTGGGTTTTCAAGGTATAAAATCATGTCGTCTGCAAAAAGGGATAACTTCACTTCCTCTTTTCCTGTTTGGATACCCCTGATTTCCTTCTCTTGTCTGATTGCTCTAGTTAGGATTTCCAATATGAAGTTGATTAAGAGAGAGGTGAGAGTGGACATTCTTGTCTTGTTCTGGTTTTCAGGGGAAATGGTTACAGTTTCTGTCTGTTTAGCAGTATGCTGGTTGTGGGTTTCTAATAGACAGCTCTTACTATTTTGAAGTGTGTTCCATCTATGCCTAGATGCTCGAGGTTTTTAATCAAGAAGGGGTGTTGGATTTTATTAAAAAATTTTTCCTCATCTAATGATTTAATCATGTGGTTTTTGTCTTTACATCTGTTGATATATTTAAATATGTTTATGGTCTTGTGAATGTTCAATCAGCCCTGCATCCCAGGCATGAGCCTACTTGGTCATGGTGGATGATTTTTGAAATGTGTTGTTAGCTCCAGTTTGCTAGATTCTTGCTGAGAATTTTAGCATCTGTGTTCATCAAGGGTACTGGCTTGTAGACTCTTTCTTTGTTAGATCTTTACCTGGTTTGGGTATCAATGTCACGTTAGTTTCATAAAATGATTTGGGAAGAGTTCCATCTTTCTCAATTGCCTGGAATACTTTGAATAGGATTGGTATCAGCTCCTACTTGTATGTTTTGTAGAATTCTGCCATCTGGTTCAGGGCTTTTTTTTTTGGTAGGTAATTTTCTTATGACATAGTCGATATCTTTGGTTATTACTGGTATATTTAGGGTCTCAATTTCTTCTTGTTTCAATCTGGGGGGATTGTGTGATGTAAGAAAGTCTTCCATTTGATTTAGGTTTTCGAGTTTGTTTCCATACAGGTGTACCTGGCAATCTCTGATAAACTTTTATATTTCTTCGGGGTCAGTTGTGACTTCATCTTTTGCATTTCTGAATGTGTTTCTTTGGTTTTTTTCTCTCTTTTTCTTGACTAGGCCATCTAGAGGTCCGTTAATTTTGTTTATCCTTTCAAAAAACCAGCTTTTGGTTTCACTGATTTCTTTGTATTATATTTCTGTCTTCTATGTCTCGAATTTGGGCTTTTATTTTGGTGATCTGAATTCTTCTGCTGAAGTTAGAGTTTTGGTGGTCTTGCATTTCCAGT